TTTTGGAAAAAATTTCCTGGCCTTCTATATGGACGAAAAAATTGCAAAATACAATTTTTAAGTATGCATTCCTGGATCCATGTTTTATTGATTAAGGCCACTTCATTTCAATATCTATTCATTAAAAATAATTAAGGTCTCTTCTGCGTTGTATTCTACATGCATTTTCCCCTTTCGGATATAAGCGCAAAATTCCTCATGAGGATTTGACTATCTTATATTCACTCAATGGTTAGATTCCATCATAGGCTTTGCAATTCAAAATTGTTCTAATTATGATGTTAATTTTTAAAAATCAGATCACAGATCATAATCAACTTAAATTGGCTTTATTTAAGTATTAAATTAATTTGAGCACCAGGATTTTTCTCTCTATCACTAATTTGGCAATATATCCTATCTCTTCTCAAGTGCGTTTTTTTGAACTGCGTACAACCCATGGTCTGTTTCTTTACTTTTCCATAATTTGCAGATAAAACGGTTATAAAACACTTTAGTCGTTTATCTTTGAAATGCTTTACATCCAGTTGCCACTGCTGGGCCCATAGAGCTACGCGAAGCCGTCCAAATTTACCTACAACTTGCGAATCTTCACACTGCTCAAATGGGCCTCCAAGACGCTAATATTACCGCCGGTAGCTCCCTTTCAGGACTTACACTTACTGGCAGTACGCCTCAAGGAGCGGTCTTAGCTACAGCTAAAGGAGCCTTGGCCAACCGAAATCGCCGGCGTATTACACGAAAAGGTGATCGAATACGCAAAGGCAAAAGGGGTGATGGAGAGGAGGTGTCAGGCGCGGGAGCTGATGAAAATGAGTGTGAGATTACCGAAGAAAACGGAGAAGGTGAAGGCTATGGAATCATAAGTGAGCTTACTGAGTGTCCTGAGGAAACGGAAGAGATGGAGACAAGCGATCTTCCTGAGGGTTGGGAAAAAGATGAGGCTGCTAGAATTGCCTGGGCTAGTAGCACTGGCTTTATGGGAGCTTTGCGGGCTCTTCTTCGAGCCCGGGTTGTGCAGGCTCGACTATTAAAGAGACTTACTAGCCCAAACAACACGGCAGTAACCGTGGGCTCAGGATTAAGGGTGGGTAGTGCAAGCACTAGTCGCTATGGCAGCGCCATTTCCGATACTTGGCTTCATGGAATTCTATCTCCGTTCGACAATTCTCAAGCGAGTCTCAACACCGTGACGGTGATGGCCTTTGAGTTGCGAGTAATGGCGAGGTATTTGATGATTGTATTTATATGCGACTAAAGCATTACCTCTTACGCTTTCATTTGCATTCTTATTATAATTTTAAACATTGATCAAAAAGACATAATGTGAAAGTTCAAACGACATTGGGAAAAGTATCCATTATTTATCGTCATCATTTATTATAAACATGATAAAAACCGTCAATGGTTTCTTTATATTAAAATATTCATTTAGCCTTTTGATTTTTAAGTCAAAGCCAACCCTCATATTTCGTCTTGACGTTTGTACTCATCTAACCGGTCTAGTCCGGCTAGTACACACTTAATCAGTCACTCCTTAACTCGTCACCGTTTGGGCATTTGTTCTTTCACTCTTTTAGTATGAATTGGCAAATTGAATATTATATGACGCGTAAGAAGTGAAAGATAGAAATGGATATTTCTCTCAGGTTGCAGAGAACCTATTCAAATCTTCCATTCTTTTTGATTATAATAAAATATACCATTTAACTGTTTGACGCGGGCGAATTCTTGATGCCGAAAGTTTTTATAGTTCTTTAATTTCAACTATTAACTTCTAATTCCATACGTAGCCAATTTATTACTGGCCAATTTTCTATAATTGTACTAATAGGCCAGGTAAATATAGTATGATTACGTTATATACAATCCTAAATTAATAGCAGCGATAGGCCTCCCTCAATTTAACCTAAGACATACTTTTATGAGTGAATTAAAGACTCATTTAATTACTGTTTGCACATAAACGCAAGGGCCTATATTTAGTATTCTTTCAG